GGCGGAGGGTCTCCATGGTCCTGAAACCGCGGCCCGCATCCCCATCTTGTTCCGCCTCAGCGCTGTGCACTCCTCGGGCAGGGACCGTCGTCCCTGAGAGATCCCCCAGCCAGTGAGAGCTGGAAAGACATGAGGCTCCTGCATCACTGAGGTGTATGAACCATTTAAAGCCTGCTGACAGGACAGCGAGATTCCAGAGAGGACCAGAGCTGTGCCTCTGTAGCTGGGTGTGCCTGTGGCAGGGCCCAGGCAGTTCACATTTAAGCATTCAGTAGTGAGGAGAGCGGTGATGCTGTCTGCATTCCGCTGAAGGAACCGGGGCACAGGCTTCATTTAAAGCCACGACTTATTGGCACATTTCACTTCCATCCTCCTCAGCATGTCGTTTTGCATCTTGGTGCAGACACAGGTACAAGCATTGCGTTCAGGTCCCCCATTTATCCTTAACCCCATTTCTAAGAATATGTTTGCTACTGCTCAGTCCTTTCTAGCCTGGACAAGAGCACGGCTCTCCGGAGCTCCTTGGGTCTGACAGACCTCGCTGAAGTCAGTAAACCCTATCTCACCGGACTTCGCATCTTACTTTTCTTACTGTTTACGTAAGCTGAGCACAAACAAACAGACCAACGTGTGTGTGCATGTGCTCGGGATTAGCAAACCCAGCCTCCAGGTGGTTCTGTGGATTGTTTTTGTACAAGGAGGGCATGCTCCGTAAGATTTTTAAAATATCTGACAGCTAAGCAGAAGCAAATGTCAAAGAAAATCAATAGGTGAGGGAGCGGTGGCTTGTGAGCTGCTGAGAACACAGCATAGTTAAAGCACGGCTCTTTGCCTTCCTGCCTTGCAAAACCAGTCCACTGCTTCTGAGCCCCCACATGCATTGCTCGTTCCGGATCACAGGTTCTTTGTGCATGACATCTCCCAGATACAGCCTTTCACATGTAACTGCACAGTTCTTCGGGAACTCACCATCATGCATCTGGCTTTCTCTGGCCCTGACGGATGCAGTCCTGCCCCGTCATTTCTGCACCAGCGTTTCCCCAACTGCCGCTTTCACCATGTCATTCCAGTGCTTGCATCCCTCCCCTTAACCTGTGGCAGAACAGGTTGTCTTAGCACAACATAGAAATACAATGTTTATCCTTGGCAAACATTTTTTTATGTTCCTCCTGAATATTTGGGTGACAGATCACTGCTCTTGAGTCTTTCCTGCAGCTCAGAAACGTGGTTGACACGTGACAACGCATGTTGCAATAGCTCATGTCAGCTACAGAAGTTCAGCAAGTCACAAGGTCTTACTAAGTCAACACTGACAGGAGACTCATGAGTGATGTAGTTAAGTGAAGTAAGTGCTGCACAGCATTTTGTGGTGGCCAGCCAGTGCAGGAGGGTTTGTGTTTATGTTAATCATGGTTCAGTTATCTGTTTTTTAAAAGTAGAGGTTTAATTCACTGCCTGGCCCTTCAGAATCCAAAAGCTCTCCCAGTCTTCTTAGATTTGTTTGGACTGCAGTGTCCTCAGCGAAGATCCAGCTTGAACTAGATTCTTGTCTTCAATATGGGCAGATGGCCGGGCTTTTTACAGAGGTGCACGGAAGGAAAACAAGAGCCAATGGTCATAAATTGAACCAGAGGAGGTTCTGATTCAATATATACAGAGAGGAGAAAAAAAAAGCCCCTATGAGAATAATAAAGCATTGGGGCAGGTTGCCCAGAAAGCAGGTGGTCTTTGGAGAGTTTTCAAGACTCACGGGAACGAAGCCCTGAGCAACCCATCAGAACTCAGTGTTGTTCCCACTTTGGAGACCTCTCATGGTCCCTTCCAACCTGAGCGATACTATAACTTAAAAAAAAAATTGGGGTGTTTGGCCAAGAAAGAGCCTAGGGGAAGACGTGATCGTCTTCAAGCATCTAAAGGAGAAAAACAATATTCCGCCCTTCTAGAACAGGAATGGGCTTAAACTGCAGTAAGAAAGACTTAGGTTAAACGTGAGGATGATCTTTCTAACGCTAAGGATAGCAAAGTCCTGGGATGGGCTGGTTGGGGAAGAGACCTGCAACCGCTGAGGTCTTTAAGACCTCCTTGGAAAAACTGTTAGGAACGGCATAAGTATGTTTGGCTGCCCTTTGTACAGGGAAGGGACTCGCTGCTTCATGGGGTCCGTTAAGCTCTGCGTTTCACCTGATCTGTTGCATGCCACAAACACTTTCATATTGGCATATGTAAATAATGGGTCTTATTTGAGTTATTCTACATCAAAGCTTTCTCGTTATACCCATAGGAAATCTCCAGATCAAAGCTTTCTTTTTCTTAGCAATATATAAATCACTTCCAACATGAATTAACGTAACTGGGGAAAAAAAAGACTGATTGGCAGTTTTCACTTACTTTTAAAAAGTATCTAAGTGGAGTTCTCTGCCTTCTATTAACCTCCACTAAACTGAGTTTTGGAGAAAATAAAACCATGGCAAAGTCTTTATATGTGAGCGCCCTTGGTTTTGTTTGCATAAGCAGCCCTCTTCTGCCAAGCCTGTGTAGTCTACCGGCCACTGCCTTCACAGACAAAGCAATTCTTCTTCCCAAGGCTGATCCCAGGACTGAATTTAAAACGGACTAAGTAAAACAGAGCATCAGGTTTTGAACTATTTGATGGGTTTGTGGCGAGGTATTTTCCCTGACGACTACTCAATGCCTTTTAAACGTTAAACCCTTTCTCCCCCAAATCCTCATTCATCTAAAGAGAAACCAAATGAAAATACCGTCATTTGTGGAGCTACGTGGAGCTGTAGATACCATCACGCCTGAGATACCATCACCAATATCTTGTCAATAGGAAAATCCTTGGGTGGCAACATCCAAGCGCGGTGGTAATGACAGCTCTGCTAGAAGATCAGATTTATCTACTGAGAGTTGCGAGTCCCGTTCAGGGTTTCAGAGGTCAGAGCTGGAGTCTGCATCTTTCAACAGAAAATCGTATGAACTTGGTTCATAACTAGAAAAGTTATTTTTATGGATAGGCTTGAGGTCTAAGTTCATTGCCCAGGTTGTGCTGGAGACTCCAGCTGGAGACTCCAACACAACCTGGACAATGAATTTAGATCTCAAGTTTGTCCATAAAAAAAACTTTTCTTACTAATACATATTTCTTGTGCGGAGCCACAATTCATCCTCAGCTCAAGCCTTGATCATGCTCTCTGTTGATAGCAGGGCAAGAGAACCAGAATATAAGTAATTTTATAAATAATATGAATGTACAATATGACTGCATGCCTGCCTTTCAAAAAAGCAGAACTCTTATGGTAAACGTTCACCCCTAAAACATTTCCCTAAATATTTTAAAGGACCAAAACCAATCATCCCTTTAAAAAAAAAAGAACACACACCCCCCAAACCCCAAAAACCCAAACCAAAACAAAAAACCCAAAAAAGCATTAAGGCAGCTCAGGATATAGCACGTAGTCAACACTTAGCAAAGTGAAACCTGATCTCAGTAGGACTTCTTTATCGTTAAAGATTAAGACGAAGCCCTTATTCTTTTATTACTTATTGAGCAATTCAGCCTTGTGCAAACCTGTTACATCAAAAACATGGTTGAGCCAAGGTGAGCCGGTTACAACGTGGTTTCCCTTTGAACCATTGACAGCACAGACCTACCTGGACTTCGTCTTGGATATACTTGGGACCTTTATCAGTTCCAGAAAACATACCACAGCTAAATCCTGTTCACGCTCCTCATTGCAGGTGCGTTACAAGTGGGTCAGAGGACAAGAGCGTTGTCTGGAGCTCCTCTTTCAGTTGTGTTAGTAAAATAGCCAGTACTTGAAAGATTGAAGTAGCATTAAAATGGAAAGAGGGAATAGAGGAGTAAAAATATTCACCTCTCCTCCCCATATAATTGAAAGGCCATTAAGCTATACTTTCAATATTTTCTGCAGGGTTTTTAATTCCCTCTTGCCAAGAAAAATAAGTGAACGTTTGCAAGGCTGCAGTGATGGATAGGGAAATAAAATTATTGTCTAAACTGAGATTAAAAAATGCTCAGCATGACTGAAGAAGATACCGGATAGTTAAAATATCCTTAGGCTGCAACTATTACAGAGCCTGTTACAGTGATAATTAGAACAATAAATAAAGAGAAACCATCAGGTTGAAGATTTTTTTTTTTTTAAGAAAAGAACAATTTCTGAGGATTTAGCTCTTACATAAAATCCTTATTGCAACTGTTTGGTTATTGGTAGGAAAGTGGGATGCATCTATTTTAGATGAGATGCACAAAGACTGCAACAGCAAGATTGATCAGCAGTGCTTTGCTACCTGGATTATTTTACATTTGTTGGTCTTCAGAAAAAAAAGAATTATCCAAGGAGCAAGAGAGATTTTAATCCCAGATACTGTATTTTCAGTGCTGTTGATGGTACTTCTCGTTCCCACTCTATAGTCCTTGTTATGACTTCAGATCCCTTATTACAGTTATGTTTCCCCTGGTTCTACTTTCTGTGTGTTTAAACTTGAGGGGTTTTGATGGAGGGTAGTGGATAAAGCTTCCTGATAAACATAGCAAGCACCTGAACATCTTTATAGCACAGGCCTTTTATGAGTTATTATGTTTAAAGTAATTTGTGTTTCCAATTCACAATAAAACTACTATTTGTTTCCTATTAGTTATTTCAATTTTTTTCTTTTTAAAGGGGATCAGCCATAGCAAGAATCATTGGCAAAAATGTCCAGAATTCCAACAGATTTGATCCTACTGTCAAGATGTGGGTATTTGAAGAGATCATCAATGGAAGAAAACTCTCAGAAATAATCAACCAGGAACATGAAAATGTTAAATATCTGCCTGGATACAAGATACCCAAAAATGTGGTAAGTTGGGAAAAAAAAAAATCACTGAAATATTGTTATTTTTTATAAGGGAGGCAACATCTGGCAAAATTAAAATTAGGAAGTAATTCACTGCTTCGTTCTGGTTTGCCACCTAACTCACTCCAATATTTTAAGTACACTGGAATATAACTCACTTCTGTCACTTCTGCTTGTCTCATATGTCACACGCAACTTCAAACACCCAACTGTGTCGGGTGCTGGTAACGCACCCTCCTCCTCTCCGGCAGAAATCAGCACAACTCTATAAATGGCAGGCAGAGATCTGTCTACACAGAACTGAGATATTTCAAACCCACAGCATCTTCTGGAAAAAAAGGGAAAGCTACTGGCTCTCCCTTCTTCTAAAAAAGAAATCAACAGCACAGCTAACAGCTGTGGCTTACCAGAAGATGAATGAGCTATCGGCTCATGGGTGATTTCAGGATAGCAACACACTGCTATGATTAATAATGCTGTAAATTCTACCAAATATATAAATTTCATGGACATTTAAAATACCAAATTATGCATCTCTACTTAAATTAATCAGCTTAGATAATTTATTGCTACCAAAGAAAGCAAGGTGAGGGGTTTTGGCTGTTCAAGATTTTTGCCAAATGCCACTGTTTTGTGAATTAAAGAAAGTAGCACCATGTTTCTGGAACACTTGCAGTTGTAAAAGGAAGTTAAGATGCTGAGACCCACCCACATGGTGGGTCTCCTTCCTTGGAGAGTGGTTATGTTTAGTACTCCATTTAGTGCTGCGATTGCATATTTGCACTCCTGTGGTTTGAACTTGGCACACAGTTCCCCTGGGTTAGAATTGACTTCTCACTTATTTTTACAACCCTCTAGCAGATCAACAGGCTTGTCATCGTCACTTGAGATCAGCTCCATCCTGCCTCTAGCAAAGTCTGAGGCTCTACCAGCAGAAATCAGCTGGTTGCAGTAAAGCCTGGAGGGACCCTCACATCTTTATCTCTGACTGAGGAAAAAAAACCAAAAAACCACACTTTTTTTTTCCTTGCATTGGTCTGCGACGTTTTGGAGAGACAGAAACACTGTCTGTACAGCACTGCTAGCCTCTGCCCCACTCCCACTTTGCCATTTTCCTGGAGAAGCAGCCTTGCTGGCAACGGTTCTGTTTCTCCCGCCGGGAATCCCACTTGCTCTAAGGCGGTGTGCTCCAAGGCTGCGTCCAAGGGCAATGTTCGCTCTGATTGTAAACTGCTTGTGATAGCAGGCGCAAATTGAACTGCCGTTGCCTCTGTAGCCTGGCTTGAATTGTTGTTCTGAGTAATGCTAGCATTTGGAGGAAGATACGGCTTGCTAGTTATCAAGGGTGTGGTACAGGTTTTTGTAACTATTGGTCAAGTTACTATATATTTAAAACAAAGGCGCATACCCCCCAAAGATGATAATAGTCTCTGCCTTTTGATATAGTTTATTCCTGAGTAACTCTTAGCTGATGACCTATGGGAACTAAAGACTGCCAGAAGAGGCTCTGTCTCACCACCCCGGTTTGCTCCTGTGCTCCCCAGTGCTACCACTCATTCCAGAAGAACCATATGGGGTTCCTCAGTATCTTCAGGAACCGCCTGAAGAAGCTGAACCAGCAAAGGGGCTTCCCAGGACGGTGCAAGTTTAGAAAGTATATCATCTTCCCCAGATTATCCACAGAGGGCTGGGATGGGAGGCAAGTTAAAAATAAAATAAATTTAAAAAATCCAAACCTAAAAAACGTTAGGCTGCTTTGAATATTTCAGAAGAGAGCTGCAGTTGCTCACCTGAAGAGCTAGCAGCTACGCAACAGTGCCAACTAAAATTAAAGACATTTGCAATGCATCTGCAATGGCTTCGGCACGTTGGTATCTTGCAAGGTGTGAGGATTCCTACCTGGGGCTCATTTCAGTTGTCACTCTTGTCCAGGTGGCTGTACCGGACGTGGTCGAAGCAACAAATGGGGCAGACATTTTAATGTTTGTTCTGCCACATCAATTCATTGAACGAATCTGTGAGCAGATCGCAGGCCAGATAAAACCCGGGACATTCGGGATTTCACTGATCAAGGTAAGTTGTCGTCTCCACAAGACTCAATCTGTAGGGAGTAAATAAGTATCTCCAACTTAAGGGTAGGAGCTCCAGTCCTCAGCTGCATGCTCTGCATAAACACAAGCATTTCTTTCTGCAAGAGTTAAAACTTACCCAGCCTCTGCCAGCCCTTCTGCTGCTCACATGGCCAGGGAGAGGAAAGGATGGGGCAACCCAGCCGGGCTACGAGTAATAGTCTTTGCCAGCCATCTTTAGCCTGGATCGGTTCCCACTTGGACCAGCACGGAGGTGAAAATGGGCAGAGAGCGGGCTACATAAGCTGGTGCTGCTGCCAGAAAAAACATTCATCAGACTACAGCGTCAATTAACTCTTGACTGGAAAGAGCACTGAGTCAAAGTGCCTCTTCCAAGTACATGCTAAAGCTGTTCTTGGCAGCATTAAAAGTAATGATTTTGCAGAACTGAAGCAATTTCAATCTGGCGTGAACTGAGGAATCTCTTTTTAAGGTTAGAGGTACCAGATTGTCATAATCTTAAAAGGAATTAATATTTTAAGAGAACCTCAAACTAAAAGTCAGAGGCGAAGCATAGGAATGTAGTCTACTGCTTCTTCTATTGCTTGCATTACAGGAAATATCCAATTTAAAATTGTAATGAAAATGTCATTCAAGTTTTCAGACTGCAATACCAGCTCTCCCCCCCCTTTTTTTTTTCCCTGTAGAAATTATCTCACAAGCAGCAGTACACAGAGGAGGGGAGGGTGGGAGAGGAAGGAAATTCCTGCAAACTTACTTCTTTCTTTAACTTAAAAAAAAAAAAACCCCAAGACAGTTCAGTACACTCCTTAATACCAGTGAAGCACTCAGATTAATACTTAGATCTTGCAAAAAAGCCACTGCTTGTAGGCTTAATTTGAAAGTCCGGTTCTGTACTACAGGCGTTTAACACAAAGGAAAAATACAGCATCAAGGAATGCCTCAGGCAGCAGCACTGGATGTGAGGCCTCTTGCAGGGTTACCTCGACTGTCGCCACCTTCTCCCTGAACTTGCCTTGAACTTGCAGTTATCGAAGTACAAACCCAGAGCATTTGTATTAATGGCTAATGCTAGTGAATGTAAGACCCGAATGCTTCCAGTTAAAACCAGAGAGCTGCAGGCAATGGAACACCTTCTGCTTTCCCGATGCTCTACTGCTGTCATTTTCCTATTTTAATAACTTGGCTTTGACTATCGTCTTTTATTCAGGGTGTCGGTGAGGGTCCTGACGGCCTGAAGCTCATATCTGACCTCATTCGAGAGAAGCTGAAAATAGATATCAGTGTGCTCATGGGGGCCAACATAGCCAAAGAAGTGGCTGATGAGAAGTTCTGTGAAACCACCATTGGTAACTATTGCAAAGAGCAAATTAGAGCCGCTAGCTGTGGTTTAACGTCACCCGTGGCTGGGCAACAGGATAACCTCTGGAGGTAGCAGGGGGATGCGATGGGTCCCGTGTGGTTCCCAAGCGGTGCAGTGGGTGCGGTGCCCACTGAGCTCATTCAGGGAGGAAGGGTGATTTCCAGGGGGTTTGGTGCTGGCAGGATCAGATCCAAACTGACAGTGGGTTTCAGTGCTGACAGCTAATTGAATCCATTAAAAAAATGACAGCTTAATCCTGTTTCTGTAGGAGTTGGCAAAAGCCACCTTTTATGTCTCTACAGCTCAACAGTGAGCCCATCGGCGGCTGATACACTATACAGTCTAGATAGAGAAGTGCAATCAGAAGCTCGTATGTGCTCATGCTCCCTGAGGTGTATTTCTCCATCTTCAAATTTCTTTCTTTAAAAAAAACAACCCAAAAGAACAAAAAATAAAACCAGTAACATTCTGTTCCTCCCTCCCATTCAGTCTGCTTGCCAAGACGTAGCCTCAGATCCTCCCAGAACTGCGTCTGACTTGACTTGGAAAGTTCATCCAGTAGTTTTTAAAACCCATTGATTTTTAAAGTCAGCGGAAATTAAAGTTACATCCTTCCATAGCTAGGGAAGACAAAAAAAAAAGTTACTGTTGCACTACTGTTCCTTTGCCTTGCAAAGGTTATAGTAATGGTGAAAACTGTACCAGCCGGGGGCATTTGTTGCTGGCAGAGTGACTAGGCACGAACAGGACTAGACATGATTAGGAGAGCTGAGCAATATTCATTCTCTTGGGGGGAGTTTAACTTCTGCTGGCCCAGTTTGAAGCCATGCTGTGATGATGACTGTGCAAAGAGCTTCGTCCCTCGCTTTTGTCTTTGTGGAAAGCCAGACAGCCCAGGAAGAGCCACCTCCAAGAGACTGGGTATCCCCCAACATCAGTTATTGCGAAGGATGAGAAGCAAACCCAAAGTTTCTCGTAAGATGGGGCAGAAACCCCACAGCTACCAGAGTGCTATTGCCCAGGCTCTTTAATACTCAGAAACACTGAGTGCCCAGAACCCCTCCAGGAGCCACAGCTGGAAAACGCTACAGCTCCTCACTGCTGAGCTCTCCCTGAAGGAAACCAAGTTGCCTCCTGTAAAAATGAAGTGAAACTCCATTCAGAAGTCTTTGCCCAGCTGGCTACCCTTCCTCTCGATACCTAGGCGAGCACTGTAATGACACGATACACGACCTCTGTAGAATTGGTAACATAAATGTTTGAGCAGTGCCAACGTTCAAGTTCTTCATCTGTGGATCTGCCTGTAATTGGGAATTATTTGCACCCCATAATAATACTTAGCAATTATACCGATTTACATTTTCAAAGCAGCAATTATACCGTTGTGCTGAACAAAGCGATTTGTAAATATTATCTTTTGCAAGGTTTGTGGTTATACCAGCTTTCTCAAGCAGAAAGCTGCATTAGGCACTATCTACTTTTAAGCTCTTTAAAGCGTTATTGAGCAATGCTTGGTCAATGCCCTGGGACTTGCATACATTTAACACTGGCTTCCAGCAGCACAAATCTCTTGTTTAGCAACACCCATTTACTGGGACCACAAAACCTCAAGTGGTCCCTGGGACCTTATTTCAGGTTTCAGTTAATTGTGTGTACTCTGAAACGTTGCAAAAAGGCTCTAACTTTCATCCTGCCTTCCCACAGGGTGCAAAAACGAAAGGCAAGGGGAGATCTTTAAAGAATTATTGCAGACCCCCAATTTCAGGATTACCGTGGTGCTTGACTCGGATACAGTGGAGATTTGTGGAGCCTTAAAAGTGAGTCATTTCAAACCAAAATGTTTTTATTAGGGCTAAATTCTACCCTCACCTGAGTATTCTGTAAGCCCCAGGGTCTAACATGAGTCCTGCCACCGTATGATGAGCGAGCACAGACACGATGTTTGCGTGCCAATTTTCCAGTCTGTTACAAAGGGAAAATTTACTTAAAAATATAACTGCTGGCAAAGCATTTCACAATAGCTGCATTTTTATCTTTATTTAACCAGAGGCACCTCTGCTTCTGAGGGCAGACTTTAGTCCGCTGTATTTTCTTGTCTGCATGTAAGCACATGGAACAAAGACTCTTACTGCATATAGAAGCTCCCACTAATAACTTATTTCCACGGTTCAAGTAGTAACCCACTAGAAAGTCTGCGGCAGAAGCGATGCTCTGTGTTGACAGCACGTCTGTGCGGCGTTCAGCGATACCCATGTCAAGATCCCAGGCTGGATCAGAGGCGATAACAAAATCACCAAGTTTCCAGTGCGGGGGCACTTGAGTGAGATTTGGCGTTTGCTTTTAAATGTGCTGAAAGCGACTCCAGCCTGTGATCCTTTGTACTTTTTTTGTACATTCAACCATTTGTACTTCAATAATTCACCTTTCCTTGGAGGAGGGGGGATTACTGGCTAGGAAAGAATTGGTCCTGTTTAACCTTACGTACAGAATGAAAAGTTTCATTACATACAAAACCAAGTACTCCCAGATTTTGCTTTCGGCCACAGGCTGGAACTGGGGGCAGGCGCAGAGGGGAGAGAGGTTGCTTCTGTTTTGTGGGAAATCTTTGCTGCTCTTGAAATCATTGCTTTGGCATTGCCTTTGCTAAAAAAATTAAAAAAAAAATCTGCACTGGGGCCTGTGCCTGTCTGGAGCACACACTTCAACGGCAGTACTAGGTGACATATTACTCACGTCCAGTGAGCTACACTTATTGAGGGGCTGGGAATTGGGAGATGGGAAGGGAGGTGTGCAGGACAACGGTGAGGAGTTGTGAAGATGTTTAGGATCCCGAGAGATTTGTTTAGAGCTGTAGAGAAGGGCAATTCTACTGACTGTTTTTGCAGGTGAAACCAAGGTTCGATCTACTGCGGCACCTGTACGTAGAACCCATGCCTGTTTAAATTAGAGACCCACAGAGAAAACCTGGAAAGGTGTGACTCCATGTTGGATATTTTAAATAGTTTAAACAGAAAGGTCAGTGAGTTCCAACTTGGAACTAGCAGAAAAACAAAGCATTAATTGCATACACGCTACGTGATTGCAATATTACTATATTAAACAAGCTGCTTTGATTTTTGCCCACTGGAATAACAGAGGATACTTTATAATAATCTTCTAGAAGCCCAGCTACTTCTGTTCGACAGTAGTTAGGTGTCCACCTTCTTCATAACATAAACTCATGGCCATTGGAAATTGAACCTTCTTCGGGTGAACGGGGTGCAGACAGATTTGCAGGGTTTTCTTCAAGCTCAGTGCACGCTGATAAACCGCACGTCTTGCCTGACCGTTTCCTTTCCTCCTCTCTATTTCGCACTGAACTGTTTTTAGAACATCGTAGCAGTGGGAGCTGGGTTCTGCGACGGACTGGACTTTGGCGATAATACAAAGGCAGCAGTTATACGCTTGGGCCTTATGGAAATGGTGGCCTTTGCCAAGATGTTCTGCAGGGGACCAGTATTGGTAGCCACTTTTCTGGAAAGCTGCGGGGTCGCTGATCTAATCACTACCTGCTACGGGGGACGCAACAGGAAAGTAGCAGAAGCCTTTGCTCGCACAGGAAAAGTAAGGAGGATTTTGAAATATTTTACACTAACGCGTGAAGAAATCCTTCTGTGTTTTACAAAGGCGTCATTAGCTGTTTGCCTTCTTGGTAACTGCTGGTATCGCAGCAGCATCCCCTCTGATCCAAGTAATCAGTCTCCTCTCTTCTAGTCCATTGAGGAACTGGAAAATGAGATGCTGAACGGACAAAAGCTGCAAGGTCCTCAGACCTCAGCTGAAGTCTACAAGATCCTGAAACAGAAAAATATGCTCGATAAGTAAGTGCTTTGATTTAAAAAAACTGAATCAACACAAATTATGAATGATTCATAACCTCCTTAACGGTCTTGTGTTTAATAATCTTGTTCATTTCTGCAACAACTGCTTTCCACATCTTGGGCCACCGTTAGAGCTCAGCTTAGCCTGAGTCCTCATTGCCGTGGTCAGTAGAACGGGACGAAGGCTGGACAGCATTAGAAGAAAAAAGCCACAGACATATAGGAAACAAAAGAAATAATAATCCAAAGGAGCTACCCAGACATCCCCCTCCCGCTAAAGAAGATTGAAGGCCATACACAGAGTCAGCTTGCAACCATGATCTATGGGTCAAAGGGTTTCTTGTTCTCAGTGTATCACCGTTACAGCTTGCAGCAATACTGCTCTCAGTGCAAAGGTTAACTAGGTTATCTCAGTATAAAATTCAGGAGCAGACTCCTAATCAAAAATTTTTATACTCGTCGAATAGGTAACGTGCTGATATCAATGCTTTAGTGCCACAAATAATGCCGAGATAAAAAGTACTTCTAATTGTTTGGGATGATGTAAGATTATTTATAATTTGAAACCTTTGTCTCAGCTTACACAATAGAAAAGCTAAACTTCCTTCCATCCCATTCGCCCTCGTACATTAGCAGTACTGAGAGGTCAAACGCTGCTAAACGAATACTTAAAAAAAAAACCCTATTAGAATTATAACAGGACAGAATATTTGAGTGGCAGCATCTTTCAAAAATGAGAGAGAGAAGAAAAGCTCGTTTTGACACGACATGAACTTTAAATCAAAACTTGATCTAATAAGTATGCTATAATTGCACTTAGTTACACACTCAGCTCCCAGTCATTCAGTGGACTCACTTTTTACCACATAATGACTAAGACAGCTTGCAAAAGGGAAAGAACCCTTTAAGCCAGGAAAAGAAAATCATTAGGCATTTTCATTCTTTTTAGTCTTTTTTATATCAGTAATGAATGCAAATAATACATGCATTTTACACACAGGAGAAAAAAGAGGATATGCAATTCACGATTTTTTTGTAAATAAAAAATGCTGGATAGGAATTTTGTCTCCAAAGCAGCTCTTCTCTGCTGTCAGCCCCAAGAATTGCCCCTAGCTCCTCTTAATTGCCCTATATAGTCTTCCAGTAAAGGCACCTCCAAGTTAAAATTATATTGTTGAGAGAAAAATTTTCCACTTTCCTTTTACTGTAACAAAAATAATATTTTCCCCCCCCCCATTATAAGTGGAATGGAAATGCTTATATAAACTTTCAAAACTATTTTCATTGCTACGCGCTTCTTTTAGGTTTCCATTATTTACAACCATCTACAAGATCTGCTACGAGGGTCAATCGATCCGGGATTTCATCGCGTGCCTGCAGAACCACCCAGAGCACATTTAGAGGTCCGCTCCCCTCACCTGGTCACGTTCTCATCTTCTGAGGACTTCTGTCCACTCCACGGCAAATAAAGTAGAGAAACAGGTTGTGTGACAACGCTTGCTGTAAAAGCAACAGAGAATGTATTTCAGTATCCTCGTTCTGGGGGTAAAAAAACCCGCCTTTAATTTCAACATTATACCCAAGGAACAGGAAATGAATGTAAAATTTAACAGTATTTGATTTGAGCTAGTAATGTGGGCATTTCCCCAGGATTACTGTCTTGTTGATTGAGAACAGTTCCCCTTGAAATTTCCAGAAGAAGAGCTCAATCTAGCTCACGTGAACCTCAACATTTTGCCTACTAGTATTACTTACAGAACAGCACAAGATGCAGAAAAATTGAAGAACTCATCCAAACAGAAAAATTACAGTGAAAAAAAAAGGTTTGACAGCAATAAGATGCAATCACCTGGGCAGATGTTGGGTTTCCATAACTCCCCTCAAACACAAATAACATTTTGTATTTTGTGACATTTAGTCCTTCCTTGATTTCGTTTCCCAGTGTAAGCCCCTTTGAAAAAATCGGCATTGTTACTGTCCTCAGACATACATGAATGTTCAGCAGAGGTATAAATAAAACAGTTTAAGGGGGGGGGTGTGTTTGTTTCAAATTCAGGACACTAGGAATTGTCAGTAGTAGTCTGATGTTCGTTAAATTTACTGTACTTCGTTGAAATACAGAAAAAAAATTTGGAATAACCGAATACATTTACGTTAGCATCAGGATTCCTCAGCAAGTTATAGCTGTTGATTGGTACTAGCTGAGAGAGGAGAGCTGGAGGTTGACAAGGAGGACGTATGCACGACTCAGCCTGCAGCGCGTGCAATGCTGTTATTTTGAGGACGTAACAAGTAACAGTGAAAAACCCCCTGTGGTACTTAACTTTTCATACGTGCGTGAAAAGGACCGCTAAGGACGCACAGAAATCCTGTAAAATTGCATTTGAAACCGGGCCGCATTTTAACTCCACCGGGAAACTCCGCTGGAGAGACACCAGTGCAGCTCCCCGCGTCTCTCCAGACTGCAGACTAATGCCCTGACCCTGCTGTAGCTTAAGCAACGCATCTTACGCTCCTGAAGAGAGAGAGAGAGCTCTTATCTACTTCTGAATTTTAAACACACACTGGTTCATACACCAGTTTTTTATTTTGCTACCAATGGCGTTAAATTTTAGAAACGTAAGTTTTTAAACCTTACAGCTGTACTTGGGTAACTTTACATACCTGATGTTTTTCGGAGTTAAAGCCATCTATGAAACGAACAGTGGCACATTTTATAAGCTTTAATACCCTTTTGAAAGACTCCTATTTAGAGACAAGGCAAACAAAAAGGAAGAGTAACCTACTTTTGCTTTGCTTTATCCGGTTTTCCAAAATAGCAGAGAGGAAGGCACGTGGTTTTTTTGATCTCCCTATGTATTCGCTGACATATTGCTTGGGGCGGGGGGGAAGCTAGATTATAAAATCGTCTCCGCTCTGCATTTTAGAGGAACGTTGTTATGCCTTTCACATTCGTCAGAGTAATATATATAAATGTATTGTAATTATAAGTGTATTGCAAAAGCCTCAGCCTCGCAGCTAGCAAAGCTGGCTCGGGTACCAGGAACAGCGGCTGCGGCATCCCTGCTCCCTGCTGAGCAGCAGCGAAGGTGGCTCAGCTCCTCCAGCTCGGAGTCCGGTCACAGCCGAGGGCTCGGGGCTCCGCGGGGCAGCGCCAGCGTTCCTCCAGCTGAAACGGGAATCACATGGCCAAATCCCTCACACAAAACAGGGAATGATGATCTTCCATTTCAAGTGGAAAAAGACTTAAATACTGCGTAATTTTTAAGTATCGAATACATGAGGATGGGGTAGAGAATCCAGGAACCTCCTTACTTCACCGGCAGGCTGAACTTCTGATAAGTCATGTGTGAGCTAATAATAATATAGAACATTTTACATGCAAAGCGTATCAAATAACAGTTTAATAAAGTGATCAATATGCAGACTTGGTGTAATTTCATTTTTCAAAATTCTCACAAAATAAACGACTGTTGTGATGGCGGTCCTTTATTGCGCTTATTCTTGTGGTTAATAATTGTCAGCTCTCAAAGAAAAGGACAAGAAGAGTCGATTTTCTACAGACATTTTATTGATGAACAAGTTCCTCTTCTTTTGTATGACATCTTTTTTTTCCCCCCCCACAGTAAAATAAGGAAATTTTTACTCCATAAATAACAAAATTAGCCCTTATATCTCAATCCAGTCAAAATCCATGTAAAATAGTTTGTGCTATATTTACGTTCTGTACCAAAATAGGAAACACATGTTCACGGCCAGCCAGTTCTCTCAAAAGAGTCGTTTTATCTCCCAGGTAAGCTTCACATTAAAAAGGCAACATCTGCACTTTGGAAGTCTGGCAGCCAGGTCGCATTATTTAATATACAAATAGACCCAAATCCTGAAGAGCGTTGCGTGCAAGCAGGCACCCGCCCGTTCAGCCAAGCAAAAAATGGGTGTTGAATCTCGCAGGGGAAGGACCTCGACCCGCTCAGCTGGCCAAGAGTCACTTGCGGGAAATGGGGGGAAGGACGGACACGCGCCTCCCTCTCTACTGAAATAAATTCAAGCAGAAAGGTTTGCAGGACAGGGAGATTTAGAAACGACTGGCCCTTGTAAGGGATTGTGGATATGCCTGGTCTTAAGTGACAGCAGTCTTCCTAATTTACCAGTGCTCAGCAGAAAGAATGAGCTGCATCGGACTGACAGTCAATTAACGGGGGTCAGAATTCTCTTTCGGTAATTAACCCCTATCCAGGGCCGTGACAGTCTCCCGAGACCTCAACTCGTTTCAAGAGGAAGGAATTCCCTGCTTCCCAGTGTAATTTTACGTGCTGCACACACCAGCCAAAAGCCACCCTTCCTCCTTGTAATTGTCCGAAACACTACAAAGACGTGCTCCTGCAGAATGACTTGCCTCACCTCCTAATCGAAATGCCACACCTATGCAGGATGGTTGGGGGGGGGGGGGGGGGGGGTAGGGGAAGACGGCCATTTACTTCCACAAGCAAACATGGAATGTTTTTAAAAAAATTAAAACTGTGGACATTATATGCTGAAAATGTTTCTGCTACGGACAGGCTCACCCATTTATCTCTGCGCTATTTCCAGAGCTCCTGCTGCCCTACCTTCTCTGGTGAAAACACAAAGGCTTACCTGGGCTGTATTTCAAAGTTTTCACGTGTAAGAGATGCAATAGGATGGCCTTGCCACGGTGCTGCCAGGACACCTAAAGTAGCTGCCTGCAAACTTCGTATTTATTTAAAACCAATTCCGACTTTTACAGGGGAAACTACACTTGAGGCTACATAACTGACTGGTTTAAGCTACAATTTTAGCCGTGTTCTGCACTCAAAAATAGCTTATGCTTCCTACTGCATTTATTTTGCTCTTAAAAACCTGAGACGTTTTTACGTAATTCATTTTAAGATTCGGAAGTTCACAGCAGACTAGAAGCTTAACTCACAGACGAACAGAACTGAGGTAGTGAGTTTTACTCAAGCATTCTTTTTGACAGTCATGAATTCATTCTCACTTTAAACTGAGCTTGACACATTTCTTGGCAGTTCCAACCCGGCTACAGCTACTAACGCACTGACAGGACGCAATGTGCTGGATTTTGCCCGCTACAGCACCTTCCCTCCCCGACGCCCCAAAGGCATGTCCAGTTCTGCAGCTCACAGCCAGCTGAAGGGCTGCCCGTCAAAGAAATTACGAGTGAAATCTCAGATTATTAAGGCAGTAATAGCTTTTACTTCGCTGGATCCACTGATGCAGGTACTGGTGAACCTGACCACAAGAGCTCTGACAGGCAGATGGATTTTTCCCTGTAGGTACAGTGCACTACAGCCTCTTTCCTCAATCAATGCATACAATTCAGAAGTAGGTAAGCATCGACTTTTTAAGCCATCTTTCAGTTAATTCTCAGGAAGAGAGAATAAAAGAAGAAAAGCCCTCAAGATAAACAACTGTGTAGAAGATAAAAATATTCAATTAAATATGACAAACTTCACACTTAGACAGGCAGGAGACTAGCATATCAAATACCGAGCACAATAAATTAACACCAGTAAAAAAGTTTAACAGTTATAAAGTTAACCAGAAAGTTCAGACAGTGCAAATATTTCACAGTAAGAAAAAATAACCGATACTTTCTTTTCGCGTATCAAAAGCATTGTTGCTGAGTGATACCATTTAAACTGTATTATTGCACAACAGACAAAAAAATACAATATCAACCTCTGGGACCTCAGATGTATTCTCAAACCTTTACATTTTCAAGGAATCAATTTACGCCAACTGTTGATTGTGCATATATTAAAATAATCAGTGTTCACTTACTAATCTCAGTGTTTCTTAATTCAAACTTGTACACATCTAAAGCATTTGATTCCTAATTTGTATTGCTTCTCAGAAACACCTATTTAAGGCTAGCCTAGGCCTTGTATAATTCAAATGAAACTTAACCTGCCATTAAGAAGGGGAACTAGCCCAGTGCAAGGTACTCTCTCAACCGTGATGCCTTCAGACAGTTTTAGGTTGCAGCTTACTCACCTCAGCAGTGTCGTAAGAGTGTCTTTAAATAAAAAAAAAAAACAAACCACCAAGTCCACTAGGCACAACATTTTCTTACAATTACAGTGGGACTCCTATTATTAAACAAGTTTAATTGTAGCTAAATAAATTTTACTCCATGCCCCTTCCATCCTCCTGCCCCTCCTTTTAGAAAGGGATCTAGTCACTGGCAATTCTAACAGCCCAGCACATTTAAGAAGCAGGGTAACATCATCCTTCTCCCTATAGTTGCATTTTTTAGTGCACTGGACACATCTGCTCCCTCAAGTTTGACGCTTTTCCAAGAACAAAAACTATCCTAACAGGACAGACAACAGATTGGACCACGTAAGAGCTTCTTTTACTCCAAACAGGATTATTTGTAACACATTATAGAGTCAGCAACAAATAAAACCACCCTTACAAGTGTCCTATAGAGCAGCTGTCCTTAGCTAGACAGATTTTGCTCATTTCCTTTCTCTTACATATATATGATTAATTTTGTACCAAGGTGTGCCCTCGTGTGGTTCAAAATATCTGATTCTCAACTTATTACAAATACTCAAATAATCCACAGTATTTATATGTCCAAAAAAAGCAGAGGGGAAAGGAATAAAAAAAAAAAACCCACAACCAAAAAACCTCCAGACAGATTAGACTTTTCTTTACACATTCAATATAGTTTTTGGTCTAGAGAAGTCAGTATGGTCCTGTAAGATTATAGCTGCCATGGCTACTGGTTTGCCCTTCAACAAAGAGTGAGAACAGCGGCATTTATGTTCATACTATTTAAAAAATAATAATGCCATTATTTCAGAAACAAACCAACAAAATCAAAAATAACCAGAAATCCTCTCCCAATTTTACAGACTGGGTGTCAGTACTGAAATGCATTTGCCTAGT